TGCAATAAGTATTAAATGAAGAGAATTATAATTTAATAAATAGTATAGTTAATATAATTAAAATTAAGAAAATCTAGTTAATTAATTAGATTATAAAATTTTATATAACAATAATATAAATTTTTTTTAAAAATTTTATTATATAATTTAATCTTAGTTTTTTTTAAATTAAAAATTTTTGTATATAATTTTGTATAACTATATTTATATAGAATATTGTTAAATGTTGCTATATCGCAGGTTAATATGATCAACCAATTAAATCAAAGGATCTTGTATAACAAAAATAAATAAAAATTAGAAAAATTAAGAAAAAACTCAAAATTTTAAATATTTTAAAATTTCATTATATAAACTAGTTTTAGGCTTCTAATTAAAAGTTTTTAACACTTAATTTTGCATATTTATATGCCTTCTAACTTTAATCCTAATACTAGCTCGAAGCCTAACCTTAACTAATAATAATTTTTAAATGTATATTAGCCTGCGATATCACAATTTGATAAATTTAACAAAAATCTTTATATATTTGCAATTTGTTTAAATATTTAGTATGAATATATCTAGTTGGTATATTGTTATTTGGTTAAAGTCTAACTCTAATAATAATTTTTTATTTTTTTAAATATTAACCTGCTAAATTTAACAAATTTCTTATATTATTTGCTGCTTATTTATTACTTACAACTTCAAAAAATCCAACTTCCATAAAGATAAGCAACAATGTAGATTATTATTGTGCTACTAGAATAAAACGATTTGTTCAACGTTACATTATCGTCAAGAAGGGGCGATTCCCCCTTATTTTTATCACGAGACATACTACAGGATGAATATAAAAAAAAAAAGAGATTAGCCACATTGACGCGTTTTATGTTTCCACAATAGGTAAATCTGTAGCATGATTACTTGACGCGATTGTTTTGATTTTTCGATTGATGAGCCGTATTTGTATAAATAGACCTTTTTTTTACTGGTTTTTTAAATAATTGCAGTTCGATCAACAAGTCTTCCATTTTTATTAAATTGAGTGTTCATTGTCCTCTGGGAATAATATATAACATCCATCCGTTAATAATTATCCTCGTTCTACTTTTTTTTTTTTGAAAAAAAATGGCAAGAATAAAAATTAGTGATATTCCAAACGTTATTATTTTTGCTGTATATTTTCATCTCTTGTATCGTTTCATCGGTTACGGCTATTACACCTATATCCCGGGATTTACATTAGCTGTACAAGCAGGATATGACTATATGTACAAATATTTCGCATCGATTACTATCATTACATTTATATTGACATTAATCCTTGATTGTGGACCGGACTTTGTGATGTGGCTTTTTGCAGAAACTCGAAAAGATATTAAAGCAAAGTAAGTTTTATGTCCAACAAATGTGCAATTCATGAATTCAAATTAATAGAAGGTATAAACAAATGAAAGATATATTAAGTGGATTACTAATTTTTATTTTCTTGTTTAGACTTATGGCAATTAAAAAAGATATTCAAGAATTAGAATCTTCTATGATTATTAAAGCAAAACAAAGGCATGAAAAATTTGGTGGACATTCGAATTCGCCCGATGAAACAACGGTTCATCCACCACTTCATGGAGAGAGTATAACTGATAATGTGCCAAACATATCGAAAATTGCATCGAATGAACAATTGGAACATTTACAGCAACAAAAAGCATCAACATACTTCAAAATGTCATACAAAGTTGACAAGGGTCTTCGTACTTTACCTTTTGCGGCAAATTTACCTGCTGTTAATAACCCACAATTCGTTGCAAGATACACATCTATTTCATCGTTAGCACAAGGTGATTGGCCTACACCACCTAGAAAAGAACCATGTAGATATATTAGCAATGTCAAAGGTGCGTATCTCAAACTGAGATTAGGCCATCCAGAAGAATTAAGTGCTCGTAAAACTGGTAGGCATTTTTATTTAACATATAATTCAATTGAAATGTTAATTCAGAGTAAAAACTGTGATGATGAGTAATATTTTATTTAGAACTCCCAGAATATGAAGCCTTCCGACCTACATTTGGATCACCTTTGTGTTCGCAAAGAATGGTCGAAGTTGGACCACAAAATAGAGTAACCGTCATATCTCCACGATTTTTAAAGGGTGCTAATACAAATAATCGTCATGAAAAAAGACCATCGGTATGAATAATTAATCAAATGGAGACATAATTATTCAATCTTATATTGATCATATATCTTTTTATTGACATTTTATAGACTACACGTAGAATTATCCAAGCTGCATTTAATAGGTTCAAGGCGGCACACTCATCTGAAGTTTCTGAACAAGCAATCCCTGCTTTTACATCATCTAGAAGTGATAATAAATGTTGTTAACGGAGATAATTTTTATCTAGTGTCTTTCTTAATTGAATATAAGTAATTTGTTATGATTTAGATCGGCAATGTGATCATGGAGAAAAGTTTGATAACCCGATCTTCACGTTCAAGCGATGGCGTTCACAGAACGGTTAAAATAATGCGACCATAAACGTGAGAATTTGGAACAAAATTTCATATTGTATGAGATGTCTGTATCTTCTTTGTGCTTTTTTGAATTTAAGGTATTATTACAGCTACTGATGTTTCAATGAGATTTTAGAGATATTTGGAGTGTATCTTATGTTGAAGGAAATACCACAGTTTCTGAGGTATAATTATTTATATTGATCTTCAAAGATCTAAAATTTGTACACTCTTCATATGCGAATGTGTTCAGGGGCATTTCATCTATCAATAAACTTCATTTTTCGATTAGATCGGGTATTACAAGAATTTTTTTGATTTTATTGATAGCTATACACAATTATATAGTATATAGTGCGCAAAGCTAGATAAATAAAGCTCGGAAAATAGTTTATAATCCAAAATCTGTAGATATGTTAATTAGTTTGCCTGTTTTAGTTAGTTGACATCCATTTAACTTAAACTATATATATAGTTAGTATTCATGTTCAAACTTAGTATAGTCTTATCAAAAAAAAATTTTTGAGCTATTTTCAACGTTAGAGTCAATTTTGTAAGAAGATTCAATGTAAGACAGCCCCATATAAGGTCCTCCATATCAAATCGCAGATCTTTATTTCAGTTGTGCAATAAAAGTTTTATTCATAACTGATACCATGATTGCATGTCTTTCGAAATCCAGAATCAAAAGTAAAGTGAATAACTATAGGTGCTATTTTTAATGGAACTCTTTTAGTTCGTATGCCCCAAAAAACAGTTCTATGCAAATTACTTTTTTTTGTGCATCTTTACATTGCCCGTCAAAAGTATCCCTCTTCTTTGTAATTTGTTATAAGAATTTTTACTGAGATTTTTAAATAAAGGTTTATAATATAAATTTAAAAATTAAGTATTTTTATAATAATAACAGAAAATTTGATTTAATTTAATCAAATAGTTATTAAGTTTTAAAATTTATTATCTAAATTTTTTAGATATAACATCGAGATTTATAAAGCTAAATTTTAAATCTTAATAATAATATTAAATTAGTGCAGTTTTTTAAAAAAAATAGAGGTCAGATATAAAGGTTCAAGTTATGGTTAGGGTTAGGTTTTTGGGAGTTTTGAATATTTTTGCATAGTGTCTCTGAGAGATATAGCTTCCTAGTGAATTTTTCTCTGGTAAAAAATAGCAATTTTTTTAAATTAAATCAAATTTTTTAAAATTTTTAAAAATTTTAATTTTTTTTTTAATTTTCAAAGGTGAGGCCATGCTTCTATTATTATTAAAACTTAATTAAAGGATACTAAAACTAGAGACTCAAACAGAGCCTACAAAATTAATTAAACAAAAAGTTAAGGAGTTATCTGCAACCTAAACCTTAATTTTAAAAAATTATTAAAATAATAATTGTTATTTAATTTTTAAAGTTTTTTACTATTTTTAATTAAAAAAAACTCCTCTGAGGTCTTGTATATCTGCTTTGTATTAATATTTATGCTTTTTGGTTTCTCTTTGCTTCTTCTCTTCTGTTTGGTATTTATATCTTCTTTTTTTTCTATTCATTGATAATTATAATCTTTGCTTCTATATATTTTCATAAAAGTAATTCTACACCAAGTTCACTACAGTCTCTAGGTAATTGTTTGCTTCTTTGAGAGGTTTTATAATATCAAGAATCTTCCTGAAAACCTCTTCTTGAATCAAGCCTTTTAGAATATCAACTCTTGTCTTGTTTTTTTCCTTACTTGATGGTTCTCAAAATAATATCTTGAGCTGGATCTTACTAAGCTAGTTTTTTGTTTTTTTAAAAAAGACTACTCAGGCTAAATTTGATATAGTTTGCTCTACTTCATTTCATTTTCTCTTGTATTTCTTACATTTTATCAGATATTCTTGGTCTTCTTTTTTTTTTTTTCCACAAGTTATACAATAAGAGTCCTTGTACAAGTTTGGGTTTCTACTAACCAAGTTTTTAAGATTAGCAATTTTTTATAAAGACACTTGATTAGCATATCTAGCCATTAGTTTTTTTTTGAGCTGGTATATCTAATTCTGTTTTGGTTTTTAATTTTCTCTATAAGATCAGCCAGTATTGCAAATTGAATAAGTTATCTAGTTTTTCTTTTTGTATTACTATTGTTGTTCTCTAATCTATACCTATTTAGAAGATAAGAATTGTTTATATAAATTGTTTTGTAGGGTCTTTTACTGTCAAATTTTCTCAATATAAGGTGATATTTAATTTCTAGGGTCTTTCTACTATTTTATTTCTACTATCTATTTTAGCATCTAATTTCACTAATCTATTTGTTCTATCATTCCATCTATTTTTACTGTAATCTTTAATTTTTCTTAATTTTATCTAGATTTTCTTAATTTTAATTATATTAACTATACTATTTATTAAATTATAATTCTCTTCATTTAATACTTATTGCA